ACTGAATGAGATTCAGAAAAAATTTTATGTAAGATATTTATATAAATATATATAAAAATAAAAAGAGTTCAATTTAATTTTTTCATTACTGTAGGTGCCTCTGCGCGCTCGGCATTTATTTTGTCTACTTATTGTTAGTAACTAAATATTTACAATAAAGTTCAGTTAAATTCAATTCCGGTCAATGATTTCAATTGTGATCAGTAGGATTTATAATTCTTGTTTTTCTTTTATTCTTTGTTTTTTTCAGATAAGTATTTTATAACTAAAATTTTAAAAATTATTCATATTATTTATCTCTTCCAATAGGAAATTCGCGAGTTATATGATAAAAATAATAAATTTTTATGATTGCAGATGAGTGACGATTATAAATATAGATTAGTTTAGTTTGAAAATACGAAGAACAATATTAAAAGTGTTGATATAATGTCAAACGAATAGATTACAGAGAATAAAAAAATTATTTATTGTGCTATTTTATGCTGCCGTTTTTAGCGAAAAAAATTAACCAGACTACTCATGGCCAAAGTAAGCTATACAATCCTATGAAAAAGCAAGTAAATTACCTTCTCAGAATTATTGAATAATTACACGAACAAATATAATTTCAATTGACATTTTTACTTACAATTAGTATATTATATTTCAGAGATTTTTACAGAAGAATTTTTATAATAAATTCACGTTACATAATATGCGACAAACGGAATATATAATGGAGATACATAAACGTAAAAATATAAAAAATAAAATAAAAATTAATTATTTTTAATTGTTGTTGAATAATTAGTTGACGAATTTTGTCTTCACTAGAAAATCGATTGTCAGTTCGTAAAATCGTCTTTATAAAATTATAAATATAGCTTATAAGTTTAAAACATAATACATAAACAATATTTATAATTATAGTTTATAAATATAAAATGTAGCTTTGTTTCTTATAAAACATAAATTTATACATCAGAGGTATATCATTCTTCTCATATATTTTAGATTATTCAAATCATCAAAGTCAAGACTGCCGTTATTGTTGATCTTGATGTTACTTGAACGCCGTTACCATCATTTCCATCATTTCCATCATTATCAAACTCTGGATAAACCTATATAAATATTTATAATATTCATTAAAGATAAATTATTTAGTTTTTGTTCTACATATTGTACAATATATTTTGTACATGAAATGCAAATAAAAAAAATTAATTATATAAAATAATATTAACAATAATATCAATAAAATTTACTACCGTTTTTTCTTTAGTTTGATTGGCTTCCTAATGATCCAGTTGTATCTCACGTTTTTATCGTATTTGCAAACATGTCTGGATGTATATTTTTCATATGATGGCTTATACTCGACATAGTATAAGAAGGTAAGTTACTGAAACAAATACTACACTCTACCTCAAAATCATCACATTTTGTAAAATATTTCCAAGGCCATCCACGGTACTTATAATTATCCAGTGTGCTACTAAAATGCAAGCGTAAGTGCTTTACTAAAGAGTTAGAATTAGACGGAACAGTTACACCACAAATAATACATTGTGAGTGTAATTCGTTGAAATATTTGAAATATATCCATGGCTTGCTTTGTCGTTCTCTGTATTTATCGTTCTCGTATTTATAAATTTTTTCATGTATTTTTTTTACATGTTGATTGAATTCCATAATAAAGAAGTAACAATATCTTAATTTGCATATCCCGCATTTTAATTGAAAATCGAGTAATTTTGTGTAATTTTGCCACAGCTCACTTTTTCTTGTGGTATTCGATGGCATAGACATCGTGTCCGTTACAAGTGAGAGAACGCGTTCTGACGAACCAATTGTGTCGCATGTTTCTTGCGTTTTTTCCAAAATGTCCAGATGTTTGATTTTTAAATGATAATTCAAATTCCGTTCAATAGAGGAAGATAAGTTTTTGCGACAAATACTACATTTCATCTCAAAGTCACCACTTTTTATACAATATTTCCGTAGCCAACTATGTGATACATGATCTTTCAGTTGTTTCTTAGAATGCGAACGTAAGTGATTAACCAAAGATTCAAATTTAGACTGAACATTTACACTACAGATAATACATTGTAAGAATAATTTGTTGAAATATTTGAAATATCTCCACAGCCATTCTTTTAATTTTTTCTTTTCTTCGTATTTAAAAACTTTTTTATGCTTTTTCTTTAGGTGTACACGAAAATGTGTAATGTTGATGTAACAATATTTATTTTTGCAAGATCTGCATTTTATTTTAAAATCTGATAATATTATATAATACAGCCACAGCCGCTCTTTAGTTGCGATATTTAATGACATAGACATTGTATTTATTTCAGGTGAAAGAACGCGTTGTTCTATTGTGTTGCTTGTTTCTTGCGTAATTCCAAAAATCTCCGAATGTTTTAGTTTTATATGACAATTCAAATTCTGTTCAATAGCAGGAGATAAGACTTTATAACAAATACTACACTCTATCTCATAATCACCACATTTTTTACAATATTTCCATGGCCAAGTATTAAATTTATAATCCTCCAATTGTTTGTTAGAATGCGTGCTTAAGTGATGTACTAAAAGGTCAGTCTTATTGCCAGACAGAACATATCCATTACAGATAATACATTGCAAAAATTCTTTATTGAAATACTTGAAATATTTCCACGACCATTTTTGTTGTATTCTCTTTTCTTCATGATTAAATATATGTTCATGCATTCTTTTTATATGCGCAACAAAGTTTGCCAAGCTGATATAACAATATTTTCTTTCGCAAAACCTGCATTTTGCTTTAAAATTTGGCAATTTTATAAAATATTTCCACAGCCGCTTTTTATTTGCGACATTTAGTGAAAGAGACTTTGTGTCCATTTCAAGTGATAATTCGTCTTCTGATGAACCAGCTATTTCGTATGTTTCTTCCGTATTTTCCAACATACCCGGATGTGCAATTTTCATATGACGATCCAATTTTCGTTCAATAACAAGAGATAAATTTTTGTGACAAATAATACACTTTATCTCAAAATCACCACATTTTATACAATATTTCCATGGCCAACTGCTAAATGTATGATCTTCCAATTGTTTCTTAGAATGCGAGCTTAAGTGATATATTAAAGGTTCGGACTGATTGTTAAACAGAATATATGTACCACAGATGACACATTGTAATAATAATTCGGTTATATACTTGAAATATCTCCACGGCCAATCTTGTCCTTTTTCTTCATACTTAAATACTTGTTCATGCATTCTTCTTATATGCATATTGAAAGTTTTGTTTGTAACGTAACAATATTTCTTTTCGCAAAACCTGCATTTTGCTTCAAAATTCAATAATTGTATATAATATTGCGACAACTTTTTTTTATTTATTATGATTTTTAGATTTGATATTACGTCCGACATTACGTCCGTTTCTAACGATGGGACATGTGTAACTGAATACGATCAATATCACAGTATATAACCAGTATGTTCACTCGATGGAGAGGGGGTAAGTTACGCAGATTTGCTTTGCGCATCCACCATCTTAACCAGTGACACAATTTGAACCAATCAGGTATCATTTTTGAATGGTTAGTGTGCCCAGATAGTAAAATATCTCCAGAATTCTTGCAGGACTGATTTATGCAATTGAGAATAATTGCTCAGTTGTTGATCTAACTATATCTGCAAAACAGAGCAATGTTAGATCAATTCAGAGTAGAACAAAATGTTCTCAATTATTGCCCAATTCTACATCAATAGTGTTAAATCAATTGTAGTACCATAATAGATCAATGGAAACAAATAAATATCTCAATTCTGCATGAATTATGGGATAATTAAATGGAAAAAATGAAATTTGCTTTTTATTAATTGCTTGATAAAAATAATTACTTGTCTTAAATTTATTTGCTCCGTTCTTCCCCGTCTCGGATAAAATTATAAACAATATTTTCAAATAAATTAAAAATATTTATATATTTAATATAGTTTACAATATGCATTTCTTATAAACTTTATATACCTTATACACCTTATAAACCTTAAAATAAAATTATTAATATTGGTTTTAAGAACTCTTTGAAACAGTTTAAATAATTGAAGCAACCTAACAGTCAAAGCAACCTTATAAACCTTATAAACTTTTTATAAACCTTAAAATACAATTAACCAGAACTCTAGAATAGTTTAAAAAATCAAGGCAACTAAACAATGAAAAAAAATAACCTTATTAATTTTATAAACTTCTTATAAACCTTAAGAGGATGCTGGAGTGAAAGTCGAACTCCGACGGGATAGCGCCATCATTTCGATGGAACTAAAAATGAATGCGACATTATCGGCATAAGTCCGTGTGCACGTATTTGTTTGTAGTGGTAATGCACTACACTGACGTGAGGACTGTGTCGGTGTGTACAATGTGCGATGCGTCAGATGTTTTATAAATAACGCTCGCGCTTTTTTTCTCAATTGAAATTCCGTCGCAAGATTGCAATATAATGTACAAGACGAAATAGGCTTACATAAAGTGTCTAATAGCATAAACTGAATATGATAAAATATTTTATTTTTGAAAAATATATATATGTAATACTGTATGAAGAAAAATGTCATATGCTTTCCTTATTTTTATCCTTGTGTAATAAATACAAAATTATAATTAATAAATTAATCAATATATACATATACACATGTATTAAATATAGTTATCTTTATTTTGCATTTTATACGATAATTGAAACAATGATTATATATTACTTCAATCGTATACAAATACAAAATAAAGATAACTATGTATTCAATATATGTGTATATGTATGTATTGATTTATTTCAAATTATTTTTGTATTTATTACATAAGAATAAAAAAAAGGAAAACATATGACATCGTTCTCCAGTTCAATGTATTGTATCATACATATATTTATCAAATAAAATATTTTACTATATTTAATTAATATTTATTAGACCTTTTGCATATACCTATTTTGTCTTGTACATTATATCACGACCTTGCAATAAAATTTTGGTCGAGGAAAGAAACGCAAAAAAAAAGTGGAAAAGCAGCAACGGTATCGTCACCGCTGTTTTGCTAGACGATGACAGTACCGTCGCCGTTCTTCCCCTGGACGACGCCGGTGCCGTCGCCGCGCTGTTCTCGTGGATGTCCTCTCTGTCTCACATCATCGTACCCTTACATTGATTACATTCACCACATATACGAACACGAACACACAATAAACACTTTTATTCTAACGAGATGAGACTGAGAGAAAGAAAGAGAGAGAGAAAGAGAGAGAGAGAGAGAGAGAGAGAGAGAGAAGAGAGAGAGAGAGAGTGTGTGTGTGTGTGT